AATTCAGCCATTCAAAACATGAGCAGATTTTCAAATCAAATTATTGCAAGCAATAGCAGTATCAGCTTGAGTTTGGTTTGCCCTTTTCACCAAAGTTCCGATTGTCGCCTTTTCGCATTACCGTTGTACTTAATTAGCTCTTTATTCGAACGTTTAGTTCGTCTTGAGAAGTCTATTTTGTCGGCTTAATCCGATTTCTAAATGGTTGGCCGGATTGACTTTCTAGTCTTAAACGTCTGTGACCGTTGGAAAACTTGACAAGAGGTAGAAACTGAACAGTTACATCTTCGTGACGAGGTAAATTTGCTTGTTAACTATACTATGAGCCTCAAGATGGGTTAGGAATAATTTTGAACGTTTCCCCCAAAATTTCAAATTTTCTGGACGCCGGGAAAGTTTGTATAAAAAAGAGTGCAGTACGAAACTGGAAGTTTAGAGTTTTTAAAATTGATTTTGAGTTCACATGATGAACCACACGCCAGGTGGCTTATCGTGAAATCTTGACATTATCTTTTTAACGCATCTCGTTTCATCACTGCAATTTAGCTCATGCTATTTGTAATTGACTCATTCACTGTCATAGTATTTATCACAACATCTAAGGTGCCGAGATATCGGGACATAGTATCGTGTTTTCAATAATAATAATAATAATAATAATAATAATAATAATAATAATAATAATAATCTTAAGCATTCATTCGTTTTTGGAGCTGTTGCTTGAGAATGCAGCGGCGCTTTCTTAATTAAAAGTTCATTCATGTCTGAAGTCATTCATGGCGCACGCAGTATATTTAAGTGTACAGGGAAAGTTTGACGATAACAGTACCCCGTGGTACCACCCGCAAGCAAACCCGGAAGAGAGCCTTATTTCCTACATGCGAAAGTTATACTTCTGCAACACACCGATTTATTTGCATTCCCGAAACGGATTTCAGTCTCCAGGCCAGCCGGCGCGCAGCGAAAGGTCCCAGTCACGGATTATGAGGCTCCTTGCAGCACAAAGCGCTCCGCGTCGTTCGCCTACCTCTCGCGCGGGGCAGCTTCCGCGCCGACGGCGTCAGGCCACGTACTCGTTAACACGGAAAAGGAAGCATCCCCGCCGCCGCCACTATCACTGCTATCATCGCCATAGCAACCACCACTACTATCACTGCCATCACCCCATCAACCACCACCTCCACCGACCATCATCTCTGTTATCATCATTGCCACCATTCTGCCACGAACATCACTACCATCACTGTCGCTCTAGATTACTGGTATTGCTACCACTCACCATCACCCCACACCCACCACCCTCACCACCATAAACACCACCACCACCTGCTTTGTACCGGGAGAGGTGGCTCGAGGCAGCAACTGATGTCACTGTAGTGCCTTTTGTCGGGAGGTCCTAAGTTCGAGTCGCAATGGATGCAGGATTTTCGAAACTAGCTAGATAGCTAAGTCGAATTCAGTCGCTGCCTCGAGGAGAATTCTAGCGGCCGGCTGCTCTGATCAGTAGTTTTCTGTGGTTTCTAGAAACAACAACAAGCGAGTGCCGTAGTAGTACCCTAATAAACGGGCGACGTACCGCGCTCGATCTTTCCTTCCTACTCCTTGTCCTATCCCCTATCTGACACTTACATATACATGCACTAGACTACCACACATGTCGGGAACTGCAAGCTTGCCCCGGCTGGGGCAGTCCCTCGCTGGTGGGAGATACTTGGTTGGGGAAAACCGCGCTAGCCTACGGTAGGTCGGCGCCGAATCTCACCATCCAGCGGAATAAGATAACCGCCACCTTCTGAAGAAAAAGCATACACTACTCTTACGGGGCAAGTGGTGTTAACAGTTGACGTGCTTGGAATCAATCAATACCAACTCCTTTGCCAGTACCATAACTTTTGTCCTCATATTGCCACCGCCACCACTACCTTCATCGCCTCTGCCACTATATTGCCGCCACCGCCATCACCTCTGCCACCATACCACCACCACAATTGCCGCTATCATCAGCCGTCATACTAGTACTACCACTACCACTCTTATTATCCTCACTGCCGTTACAATCACCCCCGCCGACCCGGCTCCAACATTGTTTCCACCACCGCCCTCTCCTCCACCTCCGTTCCCGCATTCACCCTCTTTGCCTCCACCCCTGCCGACGCCATCGACGCCGGCATCACCGCCGTCGCGGTGACCACCGCTTCGCCATCCTACCGCCGCCGCCGCCGCCGCTGCGCTGCGGAAATCTGGCCCGAGTAGTCGATGCGCTCTCACTTTTCTGCGAAATCGGCGCAGCGAGAACGTGGCGGGGGCGGGGCGGGAGGCGGCGCGGCGTGGCAGGTGCGATTCGCTTGCCCGGACACTTTTTCTCCTTCTTGCCACTCGTTGCGCCAGTGCGTGCAGCGCCGGCGATTGTTAAAGAGCAGCGAGCGCGGCGCCCCGTTCAATTTGCGTTACGTCGAGTTACACATTTCGTCGCCACGCGGTGCGACGAGCGATTTGCTCGCCGCGTTTCCGGTCGACTTCGTTGAAGTTGCTCCATGAATTTGTGGGTTCAATAAAGAAAATGTCAAGACAGAAAAGTCGTCTAAATGGGATGTTTGGGTTTTGGAAGTATGTTGTTGGACGCCGATAAAAAGAATTCATGCCGTAGGGAAATGAGAGAAATCTGATCGTGTAATGCTGTTGGTAAGATCTGTAATCCTGAGAGCAGGGTGTGCAAACGACATAAAGATTTAGGTTGTGGCAATATCTCTTAATACTCCAGTACTCACGCTTGGTATTTGGATGATTTTTATTTTATTTTATTTTTTCTTCTCGGAGATGGCGTTCACGCAAACCAGTTAAAGTATTTTCCAATGAGGCTGATGAAATACATTTTGCTTTGTTGCTTCCACGTAAGTGTAATAGAATGCAAGTTATAGCTTTACAATGTTGCTTGGGGGATCTGCATACCCTGCGCGATCATCTGTGTAACTTATCAATGTTATGACAATGCAGGGGTCGGCAACCCTACCGGATTTTGTGTGAACTACGAGGAGTGATGGTAACTGATGTTTTCATCGGAATTATGTAATTTATCTAAGATATATTTCGAAAAAAGCCATTGGAGAAGACGCCCTTCGTAGCTCAATTTGCTGAAGTGAACATCGAATATTGGTGATTTTTGGCAGTGCCCACAGAATTCTTACCGCCATATCGCGCGCATTTGATATATTAAAAGTACGTCTATTAAAATCATTAACGAAAATATTGTCAGTTTTTTTTTTCTCCCACAAATAATTTGGTTTTCTGATTTTGAAGGATTCAAATACCCATGCGAGTAAACTCATTCCAATTGGGTTCACGAGTAGCGGAGTGTTAAAGTTAATTTCTTTTAGCATGAATGCAATGAATGCTTTATTGAAAGATATTTCTTTCAAGGAAAATTCATCGATTTTTTTAGAAATAAAAATAAAAGAAGGAATTTGCATTGGATTACTGAAAAGTGAAAGAAAGAATGTTCTCAACAGGGTTCGTTTGTATTGGAGAGTTTAAAAGACTCGTGAAAATGAGTTGTGCCCAGATGAGGGCGCAACGTGCTAATGCGGTTTTTACAGCAAAAATAACAATCGCGTATGTACAGATTAAAAAAGACATAAAATGATTTACGATTCAAAACTTGTACTTCTTGTGATGTATTTTACGAGAGTTCGACACTGAAGTACATTCTGTTGTAAGACATAAAAAAATACAATTTAATGAAGGTGTCTGACGCACGTGTACTCGAACACGGTGTAGGTGCCAAAGAGTATCTTCTGTTGCAGTAAGCAAGATATAATGTAAGACCATTCTTTTGTTTTAAAGATGTTTCCTGGATATTCGTCCTACAACTTATCTGTCGATCAAGTTCGCTCTGGAGCCATTTCGAAAGACACTGAAACCGCAAGTCGCAATCACATGCGGTCGTGCGGTGTCTTTTAAACACGCTCGCGGTAAAGATCGCGAAGAATGAGGACTGGCCCGGTCACGAGTTTTCGCTATGCAAAAGAAAGCTGAGCAAACATCTCTAACGACGCATGAAAACAAGATCTGTTGTAATGGCAGGCACGAAGCCCGATAATGAAGCAGGCTCTCCTGCGTTCCGCTACTTTGTCCCTGCCCTCCGGAGGCTGCTTGGGAGCATCAGCAGAAGTCCGAGGCGAAACGAGTGAAAGGCTCAAGAGCCATCCGCAAAAACGCGCAGATGAAGTCTGCTGCCGCAAAACCATTCACCGGCTAGTGAAAGTAGTTTTCCGTACGGAGCCTGCCGGAGCGGATACTTAAACGACTAGGAACATCCGCGAGTCACCACTTCGCTTCGAGATTCTACATTGTTCGGCCATGACATGGCGCTTGAGCTTCGGATGGTAATGATTCTCGCGATTAGGCACGTCCGGATTGGCGAATTGTACGCGCCTCAACCATTTTCGAACTAATAAAAAGAGATAAGAAAGCAGGGGGTCTTGTATCATCACTTACATCACATTCGCAAAGGGAGGTCTTAGAAGGGAAAGTTTGGACTATTACGTTCATGGTGCCAAGAAACAAAAAATACCTAATAATAATTTAGTGGGAGAAGAGAAAGTTCGTTCGTTACGTTCATGATGTTAAGAAACAAAAAAGAAATAGTTAATTAGGTGTGTGTTTTCTCTTGCTCTATGTGTGCTCTATGTGTTTTCTCTTGCTCTTATTAACCAGCTTGTAGTATGAAAACGAAATACTATTAATGCCTTAAAACTAATAGAATGAACGTTTATCTGCTGTTGTTTCATTTGTTTATTACTTAGGTAATAGAAAAGAACGAAACTAAATATTAATGTCAAATGCAAAACATGGCGAGATGTTTTGACTCTATCGTTAAATACCTTCTAAACGGTGCGTTCTAGAGCATTAAAAACTAACATTTTTAGGCCGAGGGCCTTCTTCTTTAACATTCCATTACGAGTACATTTTTGCTGGTCATCTTCTTGAACATCCCATTACAGTTTTGCTGGACCGGCGCTTCTCAATATTACCCCATCTGCTCAGAGACGTGCAGAATCTGCAACTAAATGTGTATGAGCGAGTCAGAAAGAGAGGGATAGAAGGTGAGACAGAAAGGGAATGGGAAGAAGAAAGAGGGAGAAGGGCAGAACGTCTCACGGGTTTCACAAGTATATTAATAAATATGTTAAAACTTTTGATTTTCATTGTGGTTTGATTATTTCACGTTATTCATTTATTATGGATCACCACAAGATGTTTGTTGCTCCGAAAATACATAGGTCATTTTCTTAGTACATATTGTCAGTTTAGATTGACTGTTTACATTTCTTAGAATCGATTATTTCAGTATGTACATACGCTGGCAAGCGTGGTTGCACGCCATTAAGGCAAGCTTTAGAATCGTTTAGGTGGAGTGATGATAGATTGCAACGTCCCCGACCAAGTGGTTGATAAGGTTGTCCAATACGGACCACTGCGCTTAAATTCAAACCTGATGTGATGAACTTCAATTACGTAGTAACATAATATTTTGAGACAAACGATATATATTTGCAGTGTTGTTTTTCAAGCGTATTATAACGCATTAATTTAAGCGGCGGGGGGGGGGGGGCTTAGTATTGAACGAGACTGATCTAGGAAATGTAACAACTGATTTGATTGCTTGCGTGCCACATTCACCCGGCTCTGGCCCAGCCTAAGACGTGATTCCTTTAATATATTCATCGTTTCTAAGGAAATATTAGTAGGAAGATGATAATAGAAGATTGTATTGTGCGTTTATGGGCATCATGACGTCCGATGACGTGTTATGCGATTCGTATTGGTTGAACAAAACTGGCCTAAAATACTTTGTCAATAGACTTAAGATATTTTACCCAACGAATTGAGCGTACTTTGGGATCACCATACGTTTGTGAAAAATTTTTCCGAAGATGAAATTTGAAAATAATTCATCACAGACTTCATCAACTGATAACAATTTAGAAAACCTGCTAAGATGAAAAAGTCTAACGAAATTATAGATAAAAAATAAGTGAAAGAAGCAAATATCTCATTAATGAAGATATTAGAGTTAATTGAATAGAATAATTGTAAAACAAATTTTTCTTCGTTTTTTGTTATTATTTTTAAAGCATTTCCACTTGAATTACTGCCCCGCTGTAATATTACGTGTCATCAAAGAGGCCCGTGAAACCATTTGGGTTAGACAGGATAGACTTAGAGCAATATTGATGTGTGAATGTATGCAGTCTCCGGCCTTTTGAGAAGCGTCTATGATTTCGTAAGTTATTTAGAGAAACACGAGAAAAATCCAAAAACTGTGTGAAACAAAGTTTCGATTTGGACTGAAAAATGCAAGTATTTGATCGTGTTCGTCGACCCATTCTCATTCTGCGCATATCGCTGAATTCTCACACTTACTGCGTATTTCTTTACGACACATCTAACTGCAAGGCTCAAAGGATGTGGCCGCTCTTCATTAAAGATTTTTTATTCACCTGTGTGCGGGAACAGAAACTTTTTTTATAATCTTGGTATGTAAAGAACTGTTGTACTGTGCAGGTACTATCTTATGCTATTGCAATATTCGTTATGACTATATTATATTCTTTAATTTATTTCAAAGTTAAATTTTCTCAAAAATGACTCCAAATTTTTGGATTAATTTTCTCTGGGAGAAAGCTAAGGACACTTAAAAACATGACCCAGGTCTCATTTTTGTAGAACATTGACTTTTCGAAAACGTAAAATGTGTTTCGGCTTCTTCCTTCCAGTACATACAATATTAAGATGTGTCCTTAATGAAATCTGTTCTTCACAATTAGATCTTTAAATGAGATCATCTACATTTTTTTGAAAATATTAGTTGTGCTCTCTAAAATATAGTGAATTACAGAAAATATTTTTTCAAAAACTTCAATTTTTCTCTCAAGTACAGCTATACACAACGTTGTATAAAAATGACGCAGTTCCCGTTTTCGTTGAAATCTCTTTATTTTCGAACAATGCATATCTTTTAACTATCAAAATATTGAAGATAGATTTGTTTTGTAATGAAATGTATTGTTTAATACTTGATCTTTAAATAATGCCACTAGAAATATCTGACTTTTAAAAAAATGTGAATGTTAACCTTTGTTTATAAAGCATCGGCAAGGTGGTACTTTACTTGTGAGGCTGGTGGTGTAGGGGACTGCGAATGGCGTCCTAAAAGTAAGAACCTAAGTTCGGATCTCAGGGTGAAAAAACGTTTGCTGATTGTATGCACTTTTGCAAGATCAAGTAGTTTTATAATATTGTATAGTCGTTAATAATACGAGAAGGTATGTGAAGTAGCGCCACTACTTTTCTTTATTAAAGTATCATTTTTTCTTCGATAATTAGATCTTTAATCTCTCTGAAATAAATATTTGGTAATAGCTACTGAGTAAACAGAAAAAATGACAACTTACTGAGAGAAAAACGAGAAAAGAAAACATTATGCCACAATTATTGTTGAAATAAGTCATACTCTATTGCGTTCGGGACGTAACCGTTTCCCCTTCTGAATAAAGCTCTATTTAAATCCGTTGTTATATAAATAACTATTATGAAAGCACATTAATCGGTAAATGGATAGGAAAACTGGTTGTTTCGTTATTTTGAAAAAAAAAAAAAACCGTGTTAAATAACAGCTTCGTTCTGTGCTGACTGAAAGCTTGCGTCAGATATCTTCGGAGGCGTTTTTCGATTCAAACAAGGATGGGTCGAACGCCCCGCCGTCCACTTCATTGGGGAGTGGAGGGTTGAAGCCAGACACGCCCGCCTTGCGGTGATCCTCTTGGCCGTGTTACACAAACAGGATTCGCTCTACCACTGCCGTGTGTTAGCTCATCCTCTGCTCCGCGCCTTACTTCATCCTGACCTTCCTCGTCTCGCCTGATCGGGTCAACTTCACGGACCTGACTTCTCTCGATTCGTTTGTCGCCACTGATCCTTTCCTCCACCCCCTCTCCATAAATGTCGACGACTGTGCAAAGACCAAATTTAATGGAATTTCTGTTACCGCTGATTCAAATAATTTTTGGTTATTATGCCTGGAAACGTGGTCAGCTGTGTTGGATGGGAGTAAAAGTGCGTTCGTGACATCTAAGAAGAGTTGCGTTGATTTCTTCTCTGAATAGATTAGAACAGTAATTAGACCATGGGAAATTAATCCCGGGATGCCGATACGTAATTGTACGACCAACGCTTGTATGGAAATGCCGAATCTTCTTGATAGTAGGATTAATATATTTTTCATACTGAATGTAGTATGTAGTTTTTTTAATTTTCACTAGAACAAATACTCTCTTATCTTGAGTATGAGTAAAATGATTCGTGAAATGAAATGAACAGTTATGCTTTGGACATAGTTTTCTTGTTTTATTGTCATCACTGGAAAATTGAGTATTTTTAATATAATAAATTGTTACCAAAAATTCCTGAAGATTCGAGACACAGTTATTATTTTAAACGAGTAGCGAATACATGTGAAGTAAAAAAGAATCCTATCCTACGAGCACATTCCTCTTTTCTTTTCTTTTCTTTTCTTTTCTTTCTTTCTTTCTTTTCTTTCTTTCTTTTCTTTCTTTCTTTTCTTTCTTTTCTTTCTTTCTTTTCTTTCTTTCTTTTCTTTCTTTTCTTTTCTTTCTTTTCTTTCTTTCTTTCCTTTTCTTTTCTTTCTTTCTTTCCTTTTCTTTTCTTTCTTTCCTTTTCTTTTCTTTCTTTCTTTCTTTCTTTTCTTTCTTTCTTTCCTTTTTTCTTTCTTTCTTTCCTTTTTTCTTTCTTTCTTTCCTTTTTTCTTTCCTTTTCTTTCTTTCTTTCTTTCCTTTTCTTTCTTTCTTTTCTTTCTTTCTTTCTTTCCTTTCCTTTTCTTTCTTTTCTTTCTTACCTCTTTGATTCAAAATGGATTTTTCTTTCCTCTGACTTGATATATATTTGCACAGGGACACTGTTTTCAGTGACGCCAGTAAGCAGCAATGCACTGCGTATTTTTGAAAAACAATGATCAAGAACATGGGGATTTATGGTGCATCTTCAAAGATACAATAGTTACCTTCTTACATTTTCGAGCTCTACTTCCTTTATAAATATTTGGAAATGTAAAGCTAATTGCGGATTTGAGATATAACGAATTGCATATAATGAAACTTTCAAGCTTCATTGAAAAAATATTAGTTTTACATTCATGTTTTTAGGGGCGATAACCCAGAAGAAACCGAGAGCTTATTGGCTTTCCATATTACATCGTCTAGAGGAAATAATATTAGCGTGAAAATTGGAAACGGCATCCTCTTAGACAGGGCGTGTTAACTTTACCCTCCCAAATCTATTTTTCAACCGTTGGTTGACTGATGAATATATTTCATTTTATTTACTTTCTGTGCTTTGGCTTTTATGAAAAACTACACAGTTTTAGGTGCACGAAAAAACCCTCGGTCGATGGCATGAAGAAACGCACCAGAGTTGCTAGAAACTACAAACTGTTTTTCTGATCCTAGATTTTCATTTTGGAAATTATTTAACGTAGTTACTGCGTATGACCTTTGGCTCATGTTACTACGGCATCTGGGCACCACCCTTCCGTGTGCCTGTAGGACCGGTGTAGTATTTCCTGCAAAGTCTCGCGTACTGCCGCAAAAGACTGAAGGTCATTGTGTGTCTTTTATTACCTGAACTCTTTTATGCGTTAAAAAAAATTCTTATTGCCATTATGCACCTTCGACCAAAATATGATTCATAGTACTTTATGAAAGATTGATGTTAGATATTTGCAGCTTGAACGTATCATTAACTTGTTTAAGGGAATACTTATAAGTGGCAATCCACAATGAATCCGGATCTTCTCCTTAATGCAAACACTCATTAAGTGCCTATAAAATGGGGCTTTGTTGTCTGCCGCATTGAGACTATTAACCTTTCATCAATGAGTGTAGCACCACTTTCCATTGTGAATTGTTCCAAGAAACTGAGGCTGAGACGAATGATAAAAATTTTGTAATTATACAATCACTCGTTTGTCGGTGTTTATTGTAGAAGAAATATAA